TATACTATGTATATCTAAATATATATATATACACACATATATACATATATACATATGTATATAGATATACATATATACATATGTATATAGATATACATATAACTGTTCCCCAATGACAGGTGACATGCTTAAATTGGGATACTGTGCGTATATTCGTCTGGCTGTTCTCTCTCTGTTCCCTCTCTCCATATAACTACTTGTACTCGTGTCTGGAACAACGGTTCTTCAAACTGATCAATGTTTCTTATCGCATACTTGTACACTGTCCACCGCCCTATTTTCTGTTTCTTTTATGTGCGTGACTATGTTGCGGTCTTAGTGTACGTCTTCATAAACTTCTCAAGCATTTTGACCCTTTGTGGCGGTTCGGGTCTGTACGAAGTGGAAGCAAATGCGGAAGGTCCCTCGTAGAAGTACGCCAATAGGTCGTGCACCGATTCCTGTCATGATATCGAGCAAGCGCAACAGTAAATATAGCAAGATTCGGCACGCAGTACAGCATAAGTATTAACGAAAGAGAACATGCGTTCATACGGTGTTGTACTGCCCAGTTGGGGGGCCAGTGGGGTGGTCAGTTGGTTGGTGGAGCACGGTGCCTTTGTAGTGTGTGAAGTGTATCGTACAGTTTGAAAGCTGCACGGCCCACTACGCACAGCGCTAGGGTTGTGCAAGTATTCATTGTGACTGCGAGGTTAAGTATCGAACTTATCTTAGGAGTGAGGATATATAGAACAGATGAACAAAGCTATCACGCGTGCGGGTGTGCCTGGGACAGTCCCTTGCCGCGTCGTTGGGACGCCACTTCTCCTTCTTGAATAGAGATGCACTTACATAAGTGCTAGAGCATCTCGAGATGTACAACTAAACGGCATAGCGCACATCAGTCCGCACAAGCGTGTATGTATAAGAAGGTAAAGACTTTACTGTGTGTACCAAAGCTAGGATATCACTGGATTGTCGACTGCCTATATGTGTTGAGATGCACTGGGCCATGCTCTCACATGCCCCTTGTACAGACACCGTCACACCAAAGAGAATGTGCAAACCCACATATATGTATATACAAACTGAACGAAAACGCGTAAACCTACACAGATGTATATACAAACTGACCCATTTCTCGAAGCGTCACTCCTCATTTACCGCCACACACGGACTACCACATCAGACTATTCGGCTTTAGGCCTAACCACCCGCATGCACAAAGACATATGAAACTAGTTCCACGCACAAGGCTAAAGGGAACCCTATCGTTGTATTCAATAAAACCCTATCAATGTCTTAAATAAAACCCTATCGATGTCCTAAATAAAACCTTATCGATGTCTTGAATAAAACCCTATCGATGTCCTAAATAAAACACTATCGATGTCTGATGCATGCTGATCGTGTAGGTGCGTTGTAGTGTTCATGAGAGTGCCCTGACATACCTGGTTGCGCTGTGTGCTCATGAAGGTAAGCAGTTGGTTCTGCATCTTCTCAGTCTCAGTCTGTGGTGCTTCGGGGACATGGTCCGGAATAGGCGTGTCATCGCCACTACCCCATAGGAGCCCTGTATTTGGATACCAATAGGAGTGAGGCTATTTATAGCAATTTAAAAGCAACCAATGGCAACATGTCTATTAATATATACGGGAGTACGAGACGGTTACATCATGTACGTTACTATCAACAAATTCTAATTAGTTGGCTTTAATACGGCCAGAAAGGGACTCAACGTGATCATTCGACTGTCGAGAGTGTATGTCAGTGCCCGTCAATTGACGCACTGGCCACCACCAGCGGCAACGGAAGGTACCGAGACACAGTGTCAAGAAAATGAATGATAACACTCAATCAGTTTTGTCACAGCAACGGAACCGAAAGTCAAGCTATCACCTATAGCGTTGTCTTGAACATATGTGAAACATATGTGGACTATGATAGCTGTACCACTCTCAGAGATGGCATCTCAGACTTGTTGCCTATACAAATTCATCTGATACACAGGTAGCCTGTGCGGCTCAAAGCTCAGTATGGGCGTATAAAAACGTGATTTCGCAAATATTAGCCTATGCGTCTCACACATGATACATGCTCCAACACACCCTAAGGCAATGTACCAGCATGCCTTCGTAGTTTGCATTCGATCAGCATTTATACAAATAAGCAATCCCGATTTCCAAATAAGCAATACCAATTCCCAAATAACAATACAAATTTCCGGATAAGCAATCCCAATTTCCAAATATCCAATGGGCATGCGCGTGCAACATGCACATATATACACTTACCAGCAAGATGGTGTATTGCGATGTGGTAAGGCACAGGGGCGCGCGACTTGCGGACAGTGCCGGACATGATAGCCCGCAGATAGAGGGTCAACAGAGGGGTGTACGTCTCCAAGGGATACAAGTACCTACAAGTGGGGGGGGGGGGGGTGGGGGTGATTTAAGCTCGTGTTCGCAGTATATATCTCATAGGGTAGACAATTAGAATATGTGACCTTAGATATACACTTGCGCAGTTAAAGTGACAGATAGAGTTTAGATGAAAGTGACAGCAGAGGGCGTGATGTTTGCAGGGATATTGAGTTACCTGTAAATGGGAAGTGTGCCATGCAAGCATGAATTACGAGAGTGCGACTTTCTATTGTAACTGAAACCCTAGCAAAAGATCTAGCTCGTCCGAAGCTCCGCTAAGCACACATGGTTGCTCACATGTGTACCCTATTACTGACACGCAATGGGCACATTCGGGTCATCGTATTTGGTTTGGAGGGAGGGAGTCATGGCACCAGCCAACAACACCAAGCGCATCTAACATCCGAAGTGTACAGGCAGGTGGCGTGTATTCACTGTCAGGTGTATCGGTTCATAAGACATACGATTGAGCCTGCAGTTGACCTGCTAATAGACCCGAGGTGTATGTTCACCAGCATACAATGAACCACCCGTGCGTATTTATGCCTCTCAAATATCTTCCAAGTGTATAAACACAGACACACAAGACACACATCTACGTATACAGATAGCTCTATATATATCTTTTTAAATCTCACAATATAAATCACTATATATATGCATTGATATTCAGATATACACATTCTCATACGTACGTTTCGAGTGCCAGCGGTAGGTCGTCTGGGGTGAAGTTGGTCATGACAGCCATAGCGTCCACGCATTGGCCCCACACGAGTGTGCGCAGAGGGGTGGGTCCACATTGTTGCAGCGGCAGCCACAGATAGCGCTGGAATAGTGTGTTGCCCAGGGATACGCTGGAGTACTATATATATATATATATATACGCGCGTGGGGAGGAGAGGAGATTGTTAGGGAGGTGGTAAAGAAGGTATGATAAACGTATACACTGTGGACCTGCCACACGCATGCAGCGGCACAGACACACGCGACGGCGAGGAGAGGATGACAGCGCTTGACACGGCGTCTATGTGACGAGGCAGTGATACGTAACACACAGTGAGATTGATTGGGTGGGTACGTGAAGTGGTCGACATCTCTCAGGTTGGTTGGTTCTTGGAACAGTCTTTTGGTTTCCCAGTCGGTTGCTCACGTACGTGCCTATCAATAGCCATGAAAGTCTGTGTACATACTACAGGCTCGATCAACACCATAACAATTCGGGAATCCGCTAGATTTTATGGGTTTTAGGGATAAGGGGTTTGTGTAGTCGCGAGGTGCTCGCACACACCTGGTGGACGAAGGCGTTGTACAGATCATAGAACTTGATATCGGGCAGGCAGTCGAAGTCCAGATGCACATGACCCTTGCCCCGCCCCGCCATTTCGTTCTCTACCTTCGCCTGCCGCACACACAGCACCAGCAGCGTTTCCAGCAATTGCGCCACCGCCGGGGACTGCGTCGGTGTATCCGAATGGCGAAAGGGAAGAGTGGTAGTGTTAAACTTATGGGACTGTGCAGGTGTGGCCGAATGCAGAAAAGAAAGGGTGGTTTGGAGGGGTGGGTTGTCCGACCAGAGTGACCATAGGAAGTGGTATATACCCATGATGTATATTGGACAATTCCAAGAAACATGGACAACAAATAAAGTGGAATGCTCTAACACAGAAGATCAGCTCAAATTGAGATGAACGCCCACATGAAAATGTTCCCTACAAGGTGTGCATGACGTCAGGAACACCGTTATCCATAGCGGCAGCTCGTGCTCGTATACCACACTCATATACATATATATATATATATACAAACACACACACATACATATATATACATACATACACACACACACACATATATATACATATATGCTATATATATATATATATATATATATATACGCTCACTTTTACCATTTATGCACATCTATACAATGACGCCAAACGGCGGTATCACACATACAGTAAACAACTCAGCGGACGTCAGGAACACCGTCATCAGTCGTGCCAGCTTGTACTCGTTCACCACACTCACACCAACACGTGTGGCGTCCGTCACACCGTCTTCTTCCTTCGGCTTCGTCTGTACCTGGGTCTGTGCTCGTGTTACCTGTGTCTGCGCCTCGCCCTCTTGCACAATCTGGCTATTAATAGAACCATGGCTATACTCCGTCACCAATAACAAGGTCGCCGTCTTCTCCAACACCATCGCGTAGGTCTGTGCGTCTGTCAGCTCGCTCTCCTCCTCAATCGCATCGCCCGCACTCATACCACGAATGTCCCGTTGGCCCTTGTGCTGCATATCCGTGTTCGCACTAGTGTGCTTGTGGTTGCGTATCGAGGCCTTCTCCGTCGCGATATAATGGTCATAACACGCCATCAAGGGCAGCAAGACCCAATCATTGGACAGAGGCAGTCGGCGTTTCTCGGGCGCGTTCTCGTTCCGGGCCTTTTTCGCCCCAGCACGTGCCGTAGCACCACCACCTGCCCCATTTCCGTTGGGCGGTGTGTGCGCGTGAGTGGCGTATGTGCGTGGGTACATACACGCTAAATACCGCATCTCCAAGAAGGCAACAGAGGAGACGTCTCTCACATGCACGCTGTCTCGTTCCTGCTCTACCACCTCGGGCACAATCTGCTGCAGATACAATCCCAGCAGCCCCTCCGGCCACGTCCCAGCGCCTTCTCCCGCCAATTCCACACCTTCTCCTAATATGGGGGTCTCGTCCGGCCCACCACAGGTACTCGGCTGGGCAGCACCTGTGCACGGGGTCTCGTTGACGCACGTGCTTGTGTTTGCCGCGCCCACAGTAGCGCGGCCCTTCAGCTGAGCGTTCGCGGCTCTAATGACATCCGTCACTTGCCACGGCACGCGCTTACTCACCACATCAAACCCCTGCAGGCCCGCTGCACCCTGAGCACCCACACGGGCATCCCGAGCGTCAGGCTTTCGTTCACCCCGCCAGTCCTTCGCCTCGGCTTGCCCCCGCACACACACGGGCACACATGAACTCGAGCGTGAGGTCAGCACGCCAAGGTAGTCCTGGGAAAGGGCCACGTGGCTCAGGGTCTGCACTACTTCAGCAGTAAACAGGTCCCCGCACTCACCCACCAGCGCCATAGCGCGCCGATGCACGGCCAAACTCGTGGTGTAATCTCGGCTGCAGAAGCCCACGCACGCACATCGGCTCTGTGACGCGTATCGGCTATGCAGTTGGGATGGGGCCACGTGTGTTGATGGTAGTGGATATGGTCTCCGGCGGTGTGCCAGCAGCAGCGTCATGAGCGAAAGGTGCGTGCACACGGCGTGTCGACGGCTCGCTCGCACTCTCACGGACGACGCCTTCACGCTGAGAGTCCTCCGCAGTAGCACATCATACCACAGCAATGCGTTGCAGAGGGAGATACGCGCAGAACCCGACGGTGCGCGAGTGTGAGTGTGGGCGTGGCCGGTTGCTTGGTGACACGTGGCTGTATTCGCCTGTGGAGACGAGCAAGCCTGCGGGTTATCAGGCGGCGTTGCGTACTGGGCGGCACTGTCCTGTCCCGTGGCCCTCTCGTTGGGTGCATTTGCACCTCCACCCACCGCCAGTGCCTGCCACAGCCTATCCTCCACAGCCCCTGCGCCAGTCTCTGCCGTCTCCTTCCTGGCCCCTGTATCGTGACCCCCATCTGGGTCCTCATCCGGATGTCCATTCACCTCCTCACCCGTCCCGCTACACGCGCGCGTCTCTCGCGCTGTTTCCGGCGTCGAGTCCGCGTTCACACCCTCGCGTGTGCTGACTACGCCCCCGTGCCGCACTCTGACCAGCGACTCGCCGCAGCGCAGCAGCGCGCCCAAGTAATTCCACCGCACCGCCTGTGCCGCGTCGTGCACGTGCGCGGTGTCACGCTGCTTTCGTCGCGCTGAATGCTCAGCAACCACATCCTCATACGTCGGCTGTACGGTCCCATTGTCTGCACCCGTGTCCGTCGCTGTCGTGGTGGGTGTGGTGGCTGAGGACCGTTCCTGGGCTGGCCGTGTGTCTGTAGGCTTCGCACTGGCAGTACTACTCAGATCGCTCTCGCTGTGTGTGTGTTTGCGTGCCCCATCTGCGCTGCGCGTGTGTGCATGCACGTGCATGTCGTCACACAGCAGCGCGCGCGTGAGTGGCATAGACAGCGCCGCCAACACCGCGGCCGCATACTGGCCCATCAGCACTCGACTGAGCAGATGGTGGGTGGACGACGACAAAGTCGTGTGTGAATCCGCGTGCTGGGACCTACTGTTTGCCGTAGACGCATGTGCGCCGTTCATGGTGTGTATGTTAGCGTCAGGAGAGGTGTGTGGAGACGCTGGGCGGGGAGTGGGGGTGTGCGTGAGCACATAGAGATGGTACAGCGACGCGGTGGTGTGGGCTAGCGTGCCGTAGAAGTTCAGATCCACATAGCGGATTGCGGAAGGGCCTAGGCGGAATCTCTCTGTGATCTGATTGGACGATATAAATAAATTGAAATGGGAACCGTAAGAGAGTTTATCCGTGTGTTGATGATGTCACAACGACGATTAAATTTCTCTTGTACACAAGCCAGCTATGACTAACAAACAGAGTAGTAACTGTAGAGGTAGGTCATGCACTAAAGGCGGACACTCAACTGGACGATGACAAAGCCAATATAATGTATGCTGACAAGCGTTGAGAAATGCTGTATCGTGGCAATAATATGACGTTGTAGTTTAAACAAGAATGAAAACCGATAAATATACCTATCTACCTATATATATATATATATATATATATTAACATACATACATACATACATACATACATATACACACATACATTCTATGCATACATACATACATACATATACATATATATATATATATATATATACACACATACATATACCTATACCTAAATACCTTTATATATATATATATATATGTATACATACATACATACATATATACATATATTCATTCATTCATACATACATACATACATTCATACATACATGCATACATACATACGTATATATACATATACATATACATACATATACATATATATACACACACACATACATACATACATACATACGAACACACACATACACGTATAAATATATATAGATATACATACATATATATATATATATATATATATATATATACATACATAACTTAAAGTATACACATTATGATCACATACACATCATGATCAAAAGGTAGTAACCCATTCCCTACCGTGTTGAACAGCTGTAAAAGTGGACTCAGAAAACCAAGTACGTGCTGTGGTTGGCACGTGTTCACATCGTCTTCTTCGTCGGCCGGTTCCTCAGTTCCCTGGGTATGGCCTTTCGACGGTGTGTGTTCTTTGTCCGCTCTTGTTTGGGCGCGTTCGTGATATGCGGCGATGGCATTCACACAGGCGGCTTGTACCAAAGTGAACACACCACTCAGACACTGTAGGCGGGCTGGCGGTAGGGGTAGAGCGGCACCGGTGCTGTATCGCGGGGTGTGTGGAGCATAGTTTAATATCGGCGTGACTGTTGATCGGGCTGAGTTGCGTAATACGTAGTATGCACGAGGTGACAAACGACTACCTAAGACGCTTATAAGCTTCATCGCACTCAAAGTGTGTATGATGCCTGGATCAGAAATGCAACACAAATGTATACCAAACACATGCCACATACACAGCCTCAATATATATGCAGAACACCCCTACACATACACAACCTCAAAATATATGCAGCACACCCCTACACATGCACAAACTCCGGAACCAAGAGCACGACCAGAAAGTCTAACCATAGTACATTTACAAGTACGACGCTGCCACCTGCAGATTATTGTTATATGCAGCGATACGCGCACAGATGATGTGCCAGCGGAGACGGAATACAAGCCTAGTACTAACTGATTAGCGATATGCGAGTCATCAATGAGTCACACTACGTGTGGGAGTGCGCTTACCCAGACTGTAGCACCGCCAACAGCGGTGTGAGCTGTTGCAAAAACACTGTGGAGAGGTCGTTGTACATGTACTGGTACACACCGCGCGATAGGGCCACGCGCCACAGCTGCACCGCCTCGAACTGCAAGTGACAGTGTAGTAGCGAGTCTGGTAGAAGGGTTGAGATGAGAGATCAGATAGAGATGTGGTACACGTGTTATGATGGATACGAAGATTATATGGGACGGATATGGCGGGTGGCAGTCGGGGGATGAAGTCGAGCGTGGCAGATACACAGGGGAGAGCAGACATGCATTGCATTTTTAAGAGCGTGTTGTTAATGTTAACGGTGCCGCAGCGTGTCTGTGTGCGATATGTATGTAGCACGTGAATATAGAATATATACATATATACAGACATATATACAGGCATACACACACACACATATATATATACACAAATATACACACAAACACACACACACACACACAAACACATATATACATATTTAAATAGATAAACATATATATATGCACACACACACATATATATATGAAAACATATCCACACACACACACACACACACGCAGACGTACACACACACATAGGTATATATATATATTTATATATGCGTACACACACACACACACACACACACATATATAATACTTACTATATACATACACACACACACACACACATACATGCAAGCATTTAAATCCGTATGCATACGCCAGCGGAGCGGTGTTGCGAAAAAGAAAGAAAAGGTTTGAGCGGAGAATTTGGCTATCGTTGAAATTGTTATGATACGATATACGGGAGAACCGCTCTAGTTGAGATGTTGAGTACAAATTTAAACACATGTGATATATATATATATATATATATACATATACATATATATATACATACACACACACACACGCCCACACACATACACACACATATATATATGTATATATATATATAAATATATAAAGCGAAAGCAAACTTCAGCATGTTTACGATAAAACCGGCATTCCAGGCGAATTCCGGGACGTACCGATTTAACCGCCTTGAAGTTCGGTACCCGCATGCCCATGATGCGTGGTGTGATGTAAGTATAGTTGAAGTCGCCCTCAATCTCAACGCCTTTGTTGCTTGCGGGGTTTGTGAGTCTGAGACGAAACAGGGACGCAACACCGGAAACGAAAGGTAAGGTGTAGGATGAGTATTCTAAAAATAGAATAGAGTTCGGGCTCGAGTCACGCAGGAGTGGTGGTATAACATAAGAGCGATAGGCGATCATAAACCAGACACAATGGCGACAAAAACATCAAGATTTAAAGCCGTAGATGATATATAAATCACGGTCTACGGCAGTAGACGATACTTGTATTAATATGATATATACGTGTATTAATATGATATGATATATGTAATACCAAATATATGTAATGATATGATACATGCAATGATATGATACATGTAATGATATGATACATGTAATGATATAATACATGCAATGATATGATAGATGCAATGATATAATACATGTAATGATATGATACATGTTTTAATATGATACATGTATGGATATGATAAATGAATTGATATGATACATGTATTGACATGACACTTGTAATGATATGATACATGTAATGATATGATGCATGTAATGATATAATACATGTAATGATATGATACATGTAATGATATGATACATGTAATGAAATGATACATGCAATGATATGATACATGTATTGACATGACACATGTATTAATATGATACATGTATTGATATGATTAATGTTTTAATATGATACATGTATGGATAAAATAAATGAATTGATATGATACATGTAATGACATGATATTGTGTTGATGTGAGACATATGATACATGTATTAATATATATACACATCGTAGTTATAATCGGGATTGGAATGACGGCACAAACATACCCGCTACCAGCCACGGCATCCTCCACTTTGTTCTTGACACTTCGAAACGCTCCCATGACGCGATCTTTCACTTCATCCGTCTGTGTGCAAGTAGGAGTGTGATTTAAGTACGGGTTATAAGAGCATCGAACTAGAATAGGCACACACACACACACACACACACACACACATAATAGATATATAGAATATATAGATATATATTATATATAGTAAAGAAATGAATACACACAACACACACACACACACGCATACCCCTATACTTCCAGAAATCGGCATCTCTTCCTGCGGCAGGGCCAAGGCGTCTGGTCCTCTCGGTTTTGGGCCCAATTTATTTGAGATTTGGGTCAGCATTTCCAGAATCTGTCCTGCATTGGGTCTCTGCTTGGGATCTTTCTTAAGAATGGCGCGCATCATGTCGTGGAAAACCACATTGGATCCTACGGCCGGCGGCAGTTTTAGTTCGGCATTACAAATGACCATCTAAAGCGTTAAATGAGGGATTTACGATGGATAAAAGTATTTTAATTTAGAGATGGAATATCGGAAATAGACTACGACAAGGTATATATATATATATATATATATACATATATACATATATATATATATATATATATACATATATATAGACATGCACATGCACGTGCACATGTACACACACATACATACATATATATATATATATATAGATAGATAGATAGATATATATATGTATATATATATATATAAGTGTATATATAGATAGATAGATAGATAGATATATAGATAGATATAAATAGTATATATATATATATATATAAATAAATAAATAAATAAATAAATAAATATATATACATATATATATATATATATACATACCTATACATATGTCTGTATGGATACGTTAACTCCGGTGACACAATTGGGTACAGTACACAACTTCTAAATTACATGCAATTCATAAAACACAATTCGCACATCTACACACAACTACAACACTGGAAGTACACAACATACATATATAGCGCTAAATAAACACAACACACATACAGATATCAATAGCACTATATAAACTTAACACAGTGATACTGGGTTTGTCCTGCTTGTATGTACATACTTTAGAGCCGTCGTCAAACGGCGTACGGTAGTAACAGATCTTGTAAAGAGCACATCCGAGAGACCAGATGTCGGATTTGTAATCTACTGAACCGTACTCGTAGAAGTCCCACATTTCAGGGGCACGGTATTGCGGGGTAGTGTTGAGCTGCAGATGGGCAAGATAAGTGAGTCATGCATGCGGTGGATAGTATATATATATATATATACAAACACACGCACACGAACACACACATAAATATATGTATCTCAGGAGTTAAAAGGAGTGCGAACGCGTATTGGAACGGTTGCTGTGACAGCAGCAGGGTGTTCTCCAACTATATACACATATACGCAATACGAATATATCTACATATAGACAAGCCAATTATCATACATATGTAACTGTTGTTATATACACCCGAAGGTTGCTGAGACTAAGAGATTCACAGATCAGCACCTTCACGAATAGTACATCCGCCACATTCATTGGCACATGACCTACAGTTATAGTTTTGTTGTGAGTGTCTGGTATCCAGTTTTGTTGTGAGTGTTTGGTATCCAGTTTTGTTGTAAGTGTTTGGTATTTTATTGTGAGTGTTTGGTATCCAGTTTTGTGTGTTTGGTATCTAGTTTTGTTGTGAGTGTTTGGTATCCAGTTTTGTTGTGAGTGTTTGGTATCCAGACACACAACCAGCTACACTCTCCTACCTGAATTTCTTCCTCCGCCATCGCAATCTCAGCGGCGCTTTTGGGACTTAATATCTTTGTGGTCGCCGACCCGAAATCGCACAGTTTCACATTCCCATTTTTGTCTACGAGTATATTTTCGACCTAAAAGTTGAGTTGGGTACAGGAGCATAGAAGCGTTATTTTTGTACAAGTTTTGAACTGAATACTTATGCGTGGTCTGACAATGAAGGATAATACATACGAACGGAGAGATGTAACTCATAAGCTGATCGAAACGGATCATACCATATAGGAGCGAATAGATACATAAAAACTGTGCAAGTCCGATATGAGAACTAAATAGACACGTATATATACGCACATATACACATTTACGTGAACACACACAAGAACACACACACACGCGTTTATATATACTTATATACATACATACATACATACATACATACATACATACGTACATACATACATAAAATNTATATATTTATAAATATATATATATATATATATATATATATTTATATATATATATATATTATATATACATATAATATATATATATATATATATATATATATATAATATACATANACACACACACACACACACACACACACACACACATATATATATATATACATACACAGACACAGACACAGACACAGACACAGACACATATAAATAAACAGATAAATGAAAATAAACAATAGATTATAATTTGCGACAAGTTTGATTTGCGACACGCGTACCTTTAGGTCTCGATGGATGATGGGGGGGTTCTGCTCGTGCAAGAATCGTACAGAGGCCGTCAGTGCATGGAATATCCGCACAACGTCATGCGGTTCAAAGCCCTCTCGTCTGATGTTTTGATTGGACGAATGTGTTCAAAGGAGAGGATGAGTCAACAATCGGGGTCATTCCCAATACACTGGACTAATTTGGTCCGGAAGCGATTTAGGTCGGAAATCTCTCTGTCCCAATGGATTGGACCAGAATTCGCGACGACAGTGTCATTTGCGACGAAATAAGAACGCATCAGATGCAAAGAAGCCATCGGATATGAGCGCATTGTTCAGCCAGATAATCCTCTGACACTGACGTAGTCCCATGAGGGGATGAACAAACACACTCCTGTAAGACTGTTGAGCTGATTGTTGGTAGTGATCTGGTAACTATGCGCGTGTCGCTAGAGTTAAAATGTTTGTGATGATTGGGTATCTATGGAAGTACACGCATTGTGCACAAACTGCATGCCATCCAATATAGCGCAAAAAATCATTAGTAATCACCCACTACTTACAGACGATTTATATATACTTGCTTATAAATGCCTATACTCCTCCCTCACCTACAGACAATTTATATATATATACTTGCTACCTACACCTCTCCCTCACCTACAGATAATTTATATATATATATATATATATATATATTATATATATATATACCTACTATTATATAAGCCCTAATCTCGCAACCATACCTGTCGTTCATGATGTGAATCAGTGATCCCGGACACAGCTCCATTATTATAAGTACTTCTGCGTTGCTATGGCCACTCTCGCGGTTGTTAAGCACCTCCGAGCCGATCAGCTTCACAAATCCTTCGTGCTGTGAACCCAGTTTCTGCAATGGGATAAACCGAGCCAATTAGAACAGGGCCAAATAGTATGCCTCAGTTGTTTCATTCTTAAATCAATACATATATGTTAATGTGAAGTAGATGATCACCTAGTCTCGTCCCCGCATGTACAGGCGTATAGGGTATCAATACAAATGCCTACCTCGGCATCTTCATACGGCCAAGGTAATAGACTCATCTGAATTTTAACGTTAAACGGCTACATGCTATATGGAACTACAGCCCATCGCATATCGGCTCGGGCTTCAAAATAACCGTTGACAGATACCATACAATAACCAGAAAGTAGACAATAACCAGAAGATACTATACAATAACCAGAAAGTAGACAAAAACCAGAAATTGGACAATAACCAGAAGATACCATAGAATAACCAGAAAGTGGACAATAACCAGAGGATACCAAACAATAACCAGAAAGTGGACAATAACCAGAAGATACCATACATTAACCAGAAAGTGGACAATAACCAGAAAGTGACAATAACCAGAAGATACCATACAATAACCAGAAGGTGGCGTTGAGATAGTTTGAGTGACATTTGTGCCGAGAGAGAAGGGGCAGCTGCCAGACTCCAAATAGAGAACCAGAGCAATACGAAACTCGGTGTAACCAAGGCACTCAAGACGAGTTACTATCTATGGACTTTGTGATCACCCAATGCTTGCTAGTCGATGACGGGGGTCTCTAGGCATGCAGAGTGGGCCTTTGTTTAGCAAGTGTGTGATCTCATGCGAAGAAAAAAGGAAGTTATGTTTCCCCATTTGGAATGTTCTTATAGCTTTCCAGACACATCTTAGAATAGACAAAGACTTCTGCCAAGACTTCTACTAAAAGAGTGTCGTGTTCAAAGTACTTGCTCGTATGTATGTTTCATATGTATATACACTCAGTCTTGTTTATATGTGTACTTCATATGTATATACACTCAGTCCCCGAGATACCGAACTCCACCCTTCAGACGAGCCTGCAGAAACACATACCCCAATCTCATAACACTTGGCAGATTATCTTAAACGTATACGTATGAAACCATTCCCTTCAGACAACTGATACAGGGCCTCGAGAGTACCGAACTGTATCAGGCCGGCGGGGGAGCGGCGTGTGTCATAGGCTTATACAAACCCTTCTTGATACCAGTACGTGTATACGAACTAAAAACACTGGAGACTACTGTGCCGAATTACCCTGGGGACAGACTGACAGGTTGACAGCAGTGTCGTAGAGACTCCGAGGTCGCCCAAGGAATAGTCACTCTTGGTCTTACTCTTATTCTAAACCCTATACGGTACACCTAGAACAGGCTCAGACCTTTCCACTCCAAAGTGGCAGGTACTGAGATCGGTACAATAGTGGGCAATGAATGGACGTACGGACAACTCGAACGCATTGAAGCCATACCATGACATTGATCTCCTGCTGGGCGGATTGCATCGCATCTTTGTCGGGGATTATCAGCCGTTTCAAAGCGTATACGTTTCTACTTTGATCCTTAACCAGGAAGACATAGGCGAACCCCCCTGTGACAGCAGAATAAAGATAGTACGCACGCGCATCAGAACGAGCAATTGATGATAGGCGAATATTACAGTTAATTACAGAAGGGCCACTTTAAATAGATACAAACGGAATGGCTAAACGGACTAAGATAATTTCGGACAGGAATTGTGCCGATGCAGACTGAACAATTTGACGTGAACCAATCCAAATATCAATATGTAATTACCAATTTTTTTTTGGAAATGTGTCTTAGCATGTGCACCTCAGAAACAATATGTACGTCCAACTATGTCTCCGACGCAGCTACACCTAGATTTAAACATATAAATTCATATTCCTTCACATATATATTTATATATGATAAATACATGCATCTATATGTATCTATACATACATATATATATATATATATATATATACACACGCACACACACACAACACACACACACACACAATATATATATAT